CGAGGCATTACTGTCCCAGTTTCCAAGCATGAGACCTTCAGGGGCATACAGCCCTCCATTTGCCTTTGAAGTGAACATCCTTTTAAGCTCATGCTTGAGAGGCATGGCTCTGCAAGCCTCCCTTCTGCATCTGCTGCTTCCAGGTGCTATGCTGTCTACAGGACTCCATCTCGGATCCTGCAGAGGTTCCTCAAACGTTGAGGCTGTCGTGTGGTGTGGTAACCACGGCTAGTACCTTCTTGTGAAGAGCTGTTTTTCCCCATGACCCCCCAACATCCTGAGCCTGCTGAATCAAGTTCAAACCATCTGTGTCCTCTCTTGGCCCTGAAGCATCGTCAGTGGCAGAAAGGTCACTTAATTGTTTGTTTCTTTGCTGAATGTTCCCTCAGGAGGTTTCCAGTGGGTTTCTCTCTCCTTCGGTGCTCTCCCCACCTCGCTCCTGTTACAGTTAACACACTGAGTGATTTATAAAGTATTACGTATTATTGGGATACATCTTCCAGCAAAAATCTGTCCTCAGCCAGGCTTTGGGCCAGAGACTGCCGTTTAGCATCCCGGCCATTTGCAAGATGACAGTTGCACCACAAAAAGTATCTGTAACTTGACAGGAGGTATTAATTATAACAGGGCTCTGTTTTCAAAAGGCACCCACTGCATATATAACCACAACCATCCACGTTGGGAACGTGCACATCTCGCCTTGAGTTTAAGCAAGCACTAGTAAGAGGCAGGGCTGTGGAAAAGAAATTTAAAAATAGAAAGGAAAGTTTCTGGGCAGCACACAGCATCGGTTAGGCAACTACAGTCCAGCTTGCAGGTGTTGCATCTCCTGAACTCAGGCCTGATTTACCAATTTATTTTAATTGGGAGGCAGGCGGGCACTCACCATCAACAGCAGTCCCTTCTGCTCGGGGAGTAGCCTTTGGGATTGAGTCTTCACAAGCTGCTGGTCACCATTTCCATCCTTAATGTGGTGCTGTAGTTGAAACAGTGGCTTTTATGATGTTTTTCTTTTAATCGTGCAGAAAAGTGTTTGGCAAGGAGAGGGAGAGAAAGGAGAGGACCATCACTGTCCTGTCCCATTACACAGCCTGGAACCAGACCATGCTAGGTGATGAGCAGGGACAGGGAGGATCAGAGAAAGCCCCAAAAGCCCTAGCTGTAATTAAGATTATTATTT